ATGATGGTATAATGTGTTAAAAAAATCAAACTCTTTGATATACATGTACTTGATTTTGGAAAATATCTTATGATTTCAAATTTTCTAAAAGCGGTTCGAGGTATACTTTTTATCCACGTCTATTTTACACTACTCTAATGTACTGCTTTAATTACAGTTCCCGGAAATTACTTATTGTTAAAATGTACCAAAATAGTCCTATTGAATAACGACAAGGAAATATTCATAAATTCTGTACATCGCCGTCTAAATGTCATTGTGATAGTAAAATGTTACAGTAACTCAGTGTGTGTCAAAATGTTCTGAGATATTCAGCTACCACTTCGGCAAAGATTAAATTTCAGAATAAATTAAACATTGAATAATTATTCGCATTCCGGCCTATGTCACCATTTCTTATTAAGCACATCAATACAACTAGCAGAGCTATAAACCTCGCCTTTCTGAAGGAGCAATGTATTTTTAAAGAGCTTTTAACGGATATTTTTTTTTCTAAAAAGGCCCTGTTATTCTTTGTTATGACTAAAGTCGGTAACTTACAACGTTTATATGTATGCGATTAGATTCAAAGAATATCAGCAGTCTCGTTTAAGTTCATCATTTCGTTAGTTCTATGGTCGATACAATGTCGAATGACTCAGCAAATACAGTATATCATTGAGTCAAATGCTGACTGGCGTTCTTCATACTAATTTTATACTACGTGACTACGTTAAGTATTTATTGGTTTAATTTAGTAGAAGAAATTAATTTGAATAGGAAACAATTTATTCATGTTACAAAGGAGACAACTAATGTTTATCACAGTTTTATGAAAACTGAGAATGGGAGCTTGGAAAATGATATTTTAGATTTTGAAATTTAATTCCTTGAATTATGTACATGTAAATGCATGTAACATCAATATAAAGTCTGCTTAATCTTTAGGCTATTCTAAAACTCCACCTCATTAGAATCGAAATGTTTTGTTTACCTGTTTATATACGCATTTCTTTTTTTTTTAATTTGGAAAACCCCTTCAGTTCCCTAATGTTACATAAATGAAAGAAAATAATAATTCCTGTCGATACAGTTGAATGATCAGTAAGAAAATATAAGAATATTCTTTCTTCATATGATCCTAACATCTTAGACATATTCTTTAATGGGGAAATCAAAGAAGCATATCATTTCTTTTCTGATTAAACAAAAAAAAGTCTTCTCTGCATTTATTTTTTTTTCAACTCAAGTAATTTAAAACTGGAAAATCCACAAAACCCAGTGTTAATTATGTAATTCATCAAACCTGATTAATAATTGACTAACTTTTGTTGTCGTACATCTAGTTCATAGGTTGTTTTGCTATATGCAAATTGGATAAAATATAAATGCTATAAGATTTCGCATTTAATTTGTAAGATTGTGGAATCATCGACAGAAAGGTAAGATTTCTAAGTCACTATATCAATAGACATGAGGACGTTATGACTATTATAGAATATAAATAGGAATTCTACTTACTACATAGACTTATAGGTCACATGAGCAACATTCAACAACTATTCAGAAATTGAAAGTGTATGAAGGAATATATATGAGTTTTGAAATAAAAATCACATTTGTAGTGAAGACAGTTAAAAAATGTTATAATAAGCAATGAATCATTATTTTTTAAAGATGTAGTCTCGAGCTTATAACTGCACGTATGTGCAAACAAATCAAGGAACACCTGTAGCTTCAGTTAATATCAATTATTGCTTCGGTCATTTTTAAATTAAAAATAATAGTCTAACAACTGTGAAATCACTGATTTTCGCGAGGTAATTTTCGTTGTTTTCGAGGCATATACAAATCCACTAATTTATGGCCACGAAGTGTAAAATATCATATGCATGGCTACTTAACATTTTTCCACCGCGAAATCAAATCTCCACAAAACAATATTTTTTCCTCAAACCTCGGAAATTTGACCCATGAAATTGTAATTTTACAAAACCTAGACTTGTCATTACTCAAACTTATATAATTTCATCCACTGGATATTTTATCCTTCATATCTGAAGAAAACCAATACCATTTCATCAATCAATAAAGACCGCTACATGTAAGCATTTCACTTTTGAAGATAATTTGGAACGAAAGAGAAAATTGAACCAATACTTGCTGAAAGAAAAACATATTTTGAAAAAAAATCACTATGTATACATTTGAACATTGAAACTTATTTACTTTTTTTCAATATCAGAACTGCAGTGCCGTTTTTAGAGAGGAAATGATATTGTACCATAGCCTCCTTTTATTTTTGGTATCCAGTGTAAATGCGCAATTTACTCCACCACCAGTACTGGCGCCATGGATATGTGGCAATGTGAGTATGAACTTTCCGGCTGCAAATATAAACAAAAATCTCAACTTAACTTAACCTTGTGCATAACTTTTGATTAAATGGAGCTTTTCTTTTCTATTTCATATGCGTATTTATTGTGAGAGCTATGTCTTTTATATTTCATATGCATATTTATTGTCATTATACATGTTATATTTACCTTTCTTATGGTACCAACATTTTTGTCTTTTAGAACCTTACTTTGGAGTAAACCTACATATGTGCTTAATATAAAAAAAACCTTTAAGATTGGCAGGTAAATTAGGTTCATGCTTCATATAGTCATTTATTATGATTAGACCATCCTGATGATATAAATGTTTAAAAAAGGCTTGAACTTCTTATCTTGACATTTGAGTATATCCCTCTTTCCAAAAAAAAACTTTGACTTAAACATTAATTTTGGTCATAACGTTTGATATGTTTTAATGGAAAGTGCTTCAGCATTCATTCTTCACAGGTTTATTCATTAAGACGATTCCTCTCTTTGGGATTTTTGCTTTTGACCTTGGGGTTTGACTCGTTTTTGATTAATTGTATGTTGTTTTACGTTTCATTTACTAATTTTTCACTCATGTAGAGGAAACGTAACCATAAACCTATAAAGAGCTTCAAATTTTGACCTTATCCTCAGCATTCAGGGCTATTGAGTTGGGAGGGATCTTTATCGTGCCATGGCAAGGGGACATCGGTTTTAAAGGTTTCACCCGAAGCACCCGCAACTGTCACTTCAATTGTCAAGCGCATGGCGAAGTAGTTGCTACCCATTTTATTGACTTAAGATCAGTCGCGGCCGAGATTCGTACTCACGACCTCTCTATCATGACGCGAGTGCTTTATCAACTGTGCTAAGGTTTCCTCTCAATCGTTTAAGTTGTGTGTCCAACGGTGACTTGCATTTAAAACCCTTCGTCAAAAGGTGCCATACAGGGGTTATCTTTGTTTAACACAGTGTTGAATCCCCCCCCTTGCTCTTTCTGTGTGTCTGTGAGGGTGAATGTGTTAGGGTGAGGGAGAGAAGGTGAGGGTGTGCCAGGGTGTGTGTTTCATGGCCGGGAATGAGATTATATGTATATCTGTAGATTTTTTTTATCATTATTTAAAATCTGGAATATACACGTGATAACTAAAATTCCTTGTCATAAATATGATACAAAGCCACTTTTACATAATGTCAATTGTTCCATTATAGTTTAGGTGCCCAGAAGGATATTATTGTGTAAACGGCGTAAGATGTGAACCACCTGTTCGTAAGTATTTGAAATATCCAACTATACCATTTTTGTTTTGCATAATTTTCAGCATTCATCCTTCTATCCAAAATAAACATATGGCAAAATGTGAATCGGTCGAAAAAAATATTTGGAACTCGCTTCAATTGGTTTACTTCATTGTTGTAGTTTATGTAAAGTAAATATTCAGGCATATTTATTATTGGTTATTTATTAAATGATGACATATTTACAAATGTTCAATATGTTTATATGCATTTGGAATGTTTGTTAGTTGAAAATATCCATTTACTCCTTAAGTAACACCTGTTTAATTTATATAACTTGATCATATACCGTATAATCATATCTGCAGTTGATTTGATTCATCAAAATTAAATTAATTTATAAAATTATTATACCCCCACCTGAAAAGCGGGAGGGTAAATAGTAATCGGTACAGTATCGACTTAACCCAACCTAACACTAAGCAATCCCAGAGCAGTCCCGGAGACTGCTTTCTGGGACTGCTTTAGCAGGTCCAAGAGCAGTCCCACAACAGTCCAAGAGCAGTCCCACAGCAGTCCCAGAACAGTCCCACAGCGGTCCCAGAGCAGTCCCACAGCATTCCCAGAGCGATCCCAGCAGTCCCAGTGGTCCCAGAGAGCAGTCTCAGCAGTCCCAGAAAGCAGTCCAAGTGGGCGGGGTTTATTGATTTAATGGGCGGAGCTTACTCAGAAATGAGATTTGCAATAAACAATGAAACCATAAAAGGCAATAGAAATTGATTCTGGGTAGTATGCCAGGAATCCTTACATGTACATGTATGCGGTCATTTATGAATAGTACGCGCATAGAAACAAATTGAAATAATATTTATTGAAGGAAGAAGGCTTTCACATGTGCATGTATGAATTAAAATGAACATGAATATCTAATCACAATTATCGGTTATATTAATAATTCAATTTCCTAATTTTCTGTGATTGATACTGTTTACCATACCGGTATTTATTTTTTATGTAGAAAATTAATCGTGAATTAATTATTTTCCACCAGTAAGAATTAGTTTTAAATAGATCTTATCGTTATATGGCCAATTTTCATACTATCAGTATATTCAAAAGGATTTTTCTTAAGTATAGGGGTTTTTAGAAAATTCTTTGTAAAATTTTGCCAAGTATTATTTTTCAATCAGGATTATTTTTACTGACATGTCAATTTAATTATTGCTAAGTTCTCTATTATATTAAAATACTCAATTTTAAGTGTTTTATTTGTAAATGTTAGAATGTACATCATTGAATTGTTGACAAGCATGTTCAATGATGTGAAACGCTGATAAGTATACCCAAATAACATGCACTGAATTTCTGCCCTAAGGCGATTGAAACCGCGGGTGTTGATAGCATTTTATAAACATTAATCGGCCAGGTAAACAAAAGCAAAACAAAAAAGAAATAAATCACAATTCCCGGTAATTTCATCTGTTTATTTATAAAATGACTGCCGTCATGAGAAAAGGGCCCTTATCTTTTGACGTCACAATGCTCAGAAAACGACGTCAAAGTTGCGGTATTGTAAACACGGAAGTAAAAATAAGAAATAAAATAAGATTTCAAAGTGTGACAAAAATTTAAAATTTGATGCGGACATTTTTAATAGGTATATATATAGTATGATATTTTAACTATTTAATAATACGTGAATTTATTCATAAATCTGTTTAAGTACATGTATTTAACTTGATGTTGATTGATACGCGACAATGGACATGCACCTTGCTAGGAACAGCGTATATTCATGACTAAATTAAAGATGCTGCAAATTTGTTTTAGAGAAATTTCCAAATGCTTAAATTTGAATTCATGTTAAGAAGTCTTAATATCAAAAGGTATATTCCATACACATCACTGTACTTTTTTCAGAGAGAGAGAAAGAGTGAGCGAGAGGTCTATGCACTTATATTATTACCGTTCTTATATGCGCTTCTTTTTTCTGAAAAATATATACCATAATTTAAAATGTATTTAGCAGTTTTAATTTTAATCCATAGTAAATCATACTGATGTACTCCAATAGCCAGCCCACTATGAACTGTCGGTTTTAAAATGTGTGTAAAAAGGGGGGGGGGGGGGTAAGTAGACAAGCCAAAATAAATCTCCGAATAAAAAGACAACCGGTTAAAGTTCAAGCTAAAAAACATAACACCTCTTTGACTGGATATATATTCTGGTAACATGAAGATACAATTAAACCTTCTACATCAGCAATAAATAATCCTATCTAAATCAACAGTAAGAGAATATGCTAAAGAAAAAATGGGAAAAAATACGGAGGATGGGGATGCCATGAAAATTTTGCTAAAAATAAATTTTGTTTCAAAAACTAATTTAAAACGATCCAATAAATACATGTTTCAATTTTCTTAAATTGTCCCGATGAAATGAATGAATGAAATCCCACTCGAAACTGAATTGCAATATGTTTAGGAATTAAATGCAGCTATTGTGGACTTTTCCCAAAAACTTTATACCAAATTTTGAAGAAACTAACAATATTACATCGACAGTGATATTATAAATGAGGATATTTATAAACCAGAAAAAAACAAGTATAGATTAAGCGAAAAGGTAGCTGAAGAAGTGTAGCTTTCCGAAAAAAACGGAAGACCGGAGAGCTACAGTGCCACCCATGGTAAAAACTGTACATTTATTGCGTACAAAAAGTTGCGCTGTTCTGGATTTATTCCTCCAATTTCTTACTTCAATCGCGAAAAAGATAGATTTAAAAGAAAATACCTTACTCCTCTATAAAGTACTATCGTAGTTAACATCTGCACGAAATGTGTTGGACGGAATATCTTTCAAACCAAAATGGCAGTATAAATAAACGAAATTTTCGATGATCTCAATATCAGGGCCAGGAGAGCTATTAACAACAATTATATAAGGGATGTTTTGTTGTGAAAACAGTGAATCAATATGTTGGGAACACACAGTTCGTAATATTTTGAGATGGCATTTTAAAACATGGAGAAATAAATAAACAGCGCACTTTTTTGTGCGCAATAAATATACAGTTATTTTTCAATGGGTGGAACTGTAGTTCTCTGTCAAAATATTTTATTCGGGGAGCTTCAGTTCTGCAGCTAGTGAAAAGACGTACGAATTTCTGGCTAATGTCAGATATGGCGACATTTTTTTTTAAATCACTGATAGAGCAAAAAGTATAAGTGACAAGTGGTTATGGGTGTAATTTCCAAAAGTTATGAAAATTTTCAAAATCATTAACACTTCAAACCTTAGACAACAAAGAAGTCTTTTAAATTTTAGAATGATGAAAAAATAAATTTTAGCACTTGTGATGTTCTCTGCGGAAAAAATGACATTCGTGCAAAACTAATGAGCGTGAAATATATTTCAGTTCACTGACTACCGAATTCATGATATAAGTAAATAAGTCTCGTTTTACGTTGAAATCTTCAACTCTGATACATGTACATGTATCTAAATACCCCACATATCTCGACTTTTATTAAATTTCCGTTGAAATCGAAATACTGAAGTTTTATATCATAATCCTAAAATGACTCTAAGGAAAGGAATTAAAAAAACTCAAATACTTCTGCATTGAAAGAAAAATACTGTCTATATTACAGTCGCACGCAAGTAGCATCGGGAAGGGGGGTGCATTGAAAGTCCGGTGCCCCATACTTTTTGTTGCAGTATAGTGAAATTAAAGTGCACAATGGGACAAAAAAGTCTGATCTAAACCACCCCCCAACGGCGAAATTGGATTCGAATTTGGACAATCCCCACTTTTTAGGGTTTTTCTTATGGTAAATTGAATTTTTATTCTCGCTGTCCCCCACCCTCTTTTCAAACGATGCTACGTCACTGAGTTGTAGGGAACAGGCGAAATCGAGTCAAATATATTTTTTTTTTTATTTCGATATATCGAGAAAGTAGTACATGTATGTATTGAACTAATAAATAAGAAAAAAAATGGATTAGAGTTGTAGATTATAACCTAACATAACAATATAACATCGCCTCATACAAAATACATAAACGTGTGTTGGACGTAATACTAGTATTTCATTATTGGTTAAGACAGTCGCAACGAAATGTTAAAAGTTTTCATTAGGTGTCAGATTAGCCAATGTCACGGAGGAAGATGAATAGATGACCTTTCCTGACCGTAAAAAAATATACAACTGTTATGTTCAAGTGAAACAGAGTAAAGCTGCCTCAAAATTAAAAAAAAAAAAAAAAAAAAAAAAAAAAAAGGTGAATGTGCAGAAATATTTGTGACCGGTTTTAATCGTGATTTACTTTAAAAAAGAATAAAAAGTTAAAAGACAATTTCAATTTTAGGTATAAATTCAAAGAAAGTTTCAATTTAAGGTACGGTATATAAACCATTCAAAGACAATCCTTTGACATCATTTGCCTCTTTATTATATTTTTACACCATAACTAAGACAGGCGAAGAAAATGAATTTTATAAACAATTGAAGCTAACATTTTTAACGAAATATTCATAGAAGTAAACCTTTAAAAAAAATCCGCTTGCATGGAAGCAGCGAACATGAATTCAATTCATGCAGTCATAATTTATTATAAACGGAATAAACATTTTTAAAAACAAGTTTGCATATCTTGGTGTATCTGCATTTATTTCTCATTTTTCGGTGATACAGAAAATACATGTATATGGTGTTTTGATCCTATCATAACAGTTAAAGGGAAAAAATTTACCTTTGTGTGTGATGGTGAGTGAATGATGAATTTTGATGACTGATAAAAAATTATTTTCTTTTCAATATCGGGATCGAAGTGCTTTTTTGCGAGGGGATGCCCCGTTTTGCGCGCAGTGTCCTTCTGGGATTCTCTCTCTCTCTCTCTATTTATTTTAATGTTTAAGTGTTACAAGTGCTTTATATATTTTATAAATTGAATAAATTATTTTATATACAAAGAATAGTTTGTATGGATTTAAAAACAAATATTATTTTCCTACTAATTATGTTATAA